ATTTAATCAGAACTGATTTAATCAGAACTGATTCAATAAAACTGATTTAATAAAACTGATTTAATAAAACTGATTTAATCAGAACTGCGAGCGGTGTCGACCTTTTCAGGTCTTCCTGTTTGAAACTCATTTCTGTCTTTGATTTCTCATCAGATCTGGTTCTCATTCTTCTAATTCTGTTCTTTTTACTCAGGCTCCTCATTTCCTGCCTTCATTTGTATATTTTGTCACGTCTTCCTTGGTTTTCAATCCATCAGCTAACGTATGTCCTGCTCTGGTTGGTTCCACCGTCAGTCTCCGCTCCGGTTCCGTCCTCACCCTCGTTGGGCTGCACGCCGCTGAGCGTCAGCTCGTATGTGAACTCCACTGCCGACTGGGCGTGACCTTTGACCCCGTGGTGCAGGACGACCGGATAGGTGCCGCCCGGGTTGCTTCCCGTCGTGCAGCGGAGCTGGGAGTCGGAGACGGCCGACACGTTGCAGGAAACGCCGTTGATGGTGACGGAGACGAGCTCGGAGTCGGAACCGAATCCCGATCCGCTGAGCGTGATGACGGCGCCGCTCGGCCCTGCAGGAAGCAAGAACAGCTCAGGCTGAGGAGCATCAGCTCAGAGGCTGAAGTTGATGTTTGGTTTGAACTAGGACTTTCAAATGTTAATTTCTAATCACACAGATTTAATGACTTTAATCAATTAATCACATTAAGTTTTTCTAACATACAAACGTCCCAAGCAAGAACCTTTGTATTCATGCATTTCTGGGACGCCTGTAAAACTGACACACGGATACATCCAGTAATAACAGCAGCTTCTCTGGTCCACCAGGGGTTAATTCCTGCTTCTGAACGATCTGATTGGACGATGGAAATTCTACGGTTCTGTTGAAGTTGTGCTAAAAGGCGTTAGCCTAGCAATGAAGCTATGCTAACCCCACATAGTATCTAAATGCTAATAGGTAGCAGCTAATGCTAATCTGAAGAAGAGATTATAAATGATAAATATCTCTGTTTTGAGTTCATATGACTATTTATACAATAATTTAGCAGCAAAACGGGTTTTTGAATTGAAAATATTAATTTTATTAAAGCATATTTCAATTAATTGCAATTAATTAGATTTTGAAATCAACTTCATGAAGCATTTTAATTGAATCCTACCACTAATTTGTAGATAAAATGCATGTAACCATCTATTATTAAACATTTTCAATGAGCTTTTATTACTTCTGAATATTTCTGGTAAATTAAATCCAATAATAAAATCATTTTATTTTTTTCTCAGGTTGTGTTTGGATGTGTGTGGGGGCTGGAGGAGGAGCGTTGCCCTGGGCCTTCTTTGTCTGACAACCACCACCAGGGCTGGCCCAAGGCAAAGCAAACTATGCAGCCACTTAGGGCCCCAGGGCCACTAAGGGGCCCCTCAGTGGAGCTGATTTATTTATTTATTTTTTTAGTAATAATTTCTATGTCATTATAATTTCAAAAACACACAATTTCACTACGAAGTGATTTGTTTTTTACAATAATATATATTTGACAATGTATATAGAAATTATTATTTTATGAATAAAAAGAAAAAATGAATTGCTCTTGGGGCCCCCTGGTGGCCGCAGTAGGTACCGCATGCTCTGCCGGTAACATGAGCTGCAATGAGCATCCAAACGTCCAAAGCTCCGGTCAGAAGCTAAGTTAGCAAAACAATGTCTGGGAAAAGGACTTATCCTTCAGGGAGGGAGAGAAGAAGGAGGAAGAATAGAAAACAGCCCAGATAAAGGTTTGTTTTAATGAGCCTTGGTGATGTAAAGATTAGCAAAGCTGCTAACAGAAATTAGCCTGATAGCGACCTGGACCGGTCCAGTTCAACAGCCAGACATTTATGCTAGGCTCTTTGTGTTAAACTGAGTTTAACTTTAAATGAGTTGATTCTCATGGTGGTTCTGTATATTTCTGAGGTATTTTTGGCTTCAAAACGCCGAGTTTGATAAGGTTTGATAATAATTAAAACTTCTCAGTGTCTGACATTGTCTAGCTAAATGTTTCTACGTCAGGCTACATGGATGAGCTGCTCTGTGCTGTAGCTGGGATTTGCTGTTTGCTGCTGATCAGAAGCATTTTGTGCTAAAACAAACATTATTTTTCTAAGTTAAGTGAAACTTCTGTTAACATCTGAAGGCTCAGAATCAGTCCAGTACCGGTACCGGTCCAGATTCTCAGGGGAGAAAGACTCACCTGGTATAAATTACATTTTTTAGTTATTGGAGTTACACTTTAGATAAATGAATTTAATCACAGAATGTCATGAATGTGTGTAGCGCTGCACCGACTGCAGTTTTCTGGCCGATCCCTGGTTACCGATCTGAGCTGCTGATTTTGGTTTTGGCTGATTTTAAGTTTTTTGTCTGAAATGTTGCTAAATGTAGCAAGAAAGTCACTGAGTTTCCACAGTGGGTGAACATTGTTAACTGTAAAGGTTCAGACCTGTTGGTCTGCCAGTCAAACCTCTCACTGCAGAGCAGAAGAGGACAGAGGCTGATGCTTAAACCTTTGCTGATGAAGATAAGATCAGTTTCACATGTAAGTATCAGCCAATCACGATTCCCCAAAATTAAGGAAATCGGCTCCCAGAAATCAACTGGTTGATAAACCAGTTGGCCAATAAATGTGTCCTATATTATACATGTATATAATGTAAACAGCCAGAGATGCAGTCAGTTTATAGCAGGTGTGTGAATGACCTGATGATCAGACTGCTGACTGCAGCCGGTCCACAGAACTAGAGGGCCCCATGGAGGCCTGGGCCGGCCCTGCTCATCACTGATTAAAGCTACGCTGAAGCACCAGAGATTCTCCAAACTGAATTATTTTGGATGGTTTTGGATTTTTGTGGATCATTTCAGGCCGTTTCTGGCGCTGCTCCTGTGGGTCCAGTGTGTATGTACCGGTGTGGGGGCTGATGGCGCTGAGGACCGGCGTGTGGGCTGCAGAGTAGTTGAAGCTGAGCGGAGGGAAGGTGACGGCGAACACCTGGATGCTGACGGCGGCCGGACCCTCGGGGTGAGCGGGGCTGAGGCAGAGCAGCGTGTCTGGAGTCTCCTCCTGGATGCTGCAGGGTTTCCCGCCCACCGCCACGCTGGTGTTCCCCGGAGCAAAGCCGTTCCCAGTGAGGACAAGCGGCGTCCCCCCGGCTAGGCTCCCGGCGCCGGGCCGCAGCGCGGCCAGCGGGCGGCTGCTCAGGGTCGGCTGGCCGGACGCCAGGCCCCTGCTCCTCACCAGCAGCCGGACCGGGTGGTCTCCGGCCGGCAGCGCGCCGACCCGCACCGTCACGTTCCCGTCGCTCACCGCCGCCGGCCGCAGTGGCGTGGAGCCCACCAGGACCGACACGTCGTCCACTATGCTGCCAAAGCCGGAGCCGGAGACCAGGACGTCGGTCGGGCCGCTGATGCTGCTGGGCGAGACGCCGCTGACGCTGGGCGTGACGGCGGAGGAGAACCGGAAGGAGCAGACGGAGGAGCAGGAGCTGCGGATCTGGTCCAGGTGGAACACCACGTCCCCGGAGCGCTCCGCCGACGGCGCCGTGTCACACAGGATGTGGGTGTAGTTCAGCATCACAACGCTGCAGGACACGCCCGCCGCCATCACGCCACCCTCAGAAAACCCCGAGCCGCCGATCCGGAGCCGGGTGAATCCGGTGGAGCTCCCAACAGGGGGCGCCACCGAGTCGACAACCGGTAGGACCACGAAGCGACGCTTCAACTCATCAGAGATGGCGACAACGGCGGCGCCCAAGTTGTTGACTCTGACGGAGACGGGCAGAGCGACGCCAACTGGAAGCTCTGAGCTGGAGCCGAGCCGGCAGCTGATCCCGGACCAGGAGCTGTTGGTCACATGACACGGCTCACCGCCAACCGTCACCTGCAGGATGAACAATTAATCGTCAAATAACTGACCGATTATTCCATTGATTTCTAAAATAATCGAGAGCCGCAGCCCTGATTAGCCTCGGGCTGCTCTGAGCAGCGCCATCTAGAGGGGAGAGGTTCCAGCCGTAGACCCCCATGACCCTGCTGACCTCGTTAGCGCAGGAGACGTCACTGAAGCCTTGTCCCTGGATGTGGATCAGCTGGTGGTAGGAGCCCTGGTTGGGGGAGATGGAGCGGACGGTGGGGGTGGAGCAGGCGGAGAAGCTGAAGGAAAGACCGTCTGAAGTCTGATTGGCCGGTGGGCAGGGTGTGGACGCCGCGCAGCCTGCTGCTGATCTGGAGACTCTGGGTGAACCTGCAGCCAGACCTTCATCATCAGCCTCCTCATCTTCCTCTGGGGCTTCTTTACGTCTCAAACATTTACCTTCTGGCAGATATCTGGCCAGAACGCCTCCCACTCTGACGGAGACGTCAGCGTTCTTGTCCTCCAGACTCACGACCTTCACGACTCCCTGCATCAGGATGGAGGCGCTGACGTAGCCGCTGCTGTAGTAGTACGTACCGGGGACGGTGAAACGGTAGCTGAAGAACCCTGAGCAGGAAGGATGGAGATGATCCGGGTCACAGCGGCAGACAGACGGCATGCAGAGGAGTGAAAAAGAAAGAAGACAGAATCTGTTCTGCATTTTCATGTTTCTACCTTCAGCAGTTCGGGCCTCGCCGCTGTTCAGAGCTCCTCCTTCATACTGGGAGCCACTGGGACTGGAAACACTGAAGACTCGGTACCCGACGCTCTGGAAGGCAGGTGCCTCCCACCGCCACCTCACTGTGTCGCCAACAAACACTCGCAGCGAAGACGGGCTCCAAGCGTATCCCGGTCCATAAGCTGCAACACAGACACGCATATCAGACACACACGTTGGTCCCACCTGGACCTGCGGCGCTCCAGGTCCAAAAGGCTTTCATTCCAGGGGGAGGGAACGTACTGAGGTGGGAGCCCTGGTTGGTGACGACGTGCGTCCTCTCCCCTGACTGAACGGTGCAGAGCAGCTGGTTTTCCGAGGCGGACGCCACCTCACAGGCTCTGCTTCCTGTCGCACAGCGAGCGCCGGACGGGTCATCAGTAACCTCGCCATTGCTGCAGCAGCAGGCGGGACGCAGACGGACACTCACCAACAGAAACCTGGACGTTAGCCGTGTCGTTGCTGAAACCGGAACCAGAAACCGTCAGCGTGGTTCCTCCCAGCAAAGAGCCGGTCAGCGGGGAAATGCTGTAAACTTCCAGGATGTATTCGATGCTGGTGTTGATGCTGGAGAGGAGGAATCGTCTGAGTCAGGATGACGATTAAAACACACATTTGGCTGCATTTCTGGAGAACCTTTAGGGCCTTCAGGTGCTAATGCTCCAGAGAGCGAAGCGCAGTACAAGGATGTTTCACTGCTGATGTCCAGGACACAACAACTGAGAAATATTCCCAAATTACATAAAAAAATATTTTTACTTCATAAATTTGGTATAAAGAAATCCTCGTCCCTTACCCCATCTCCATCATCCCTCATCTCCTCTCTTTACATGCTTCATCCTTCCTTACTCCAAGAATCAAGCACTTCTTGCCATTAATGGGGCTTACGGTCATAACACTAATTGTGTCAGTTAATGAATTAAAACTAATTAATTTAAAGTTAATATAGGTTGTTTTACATTTACTGAATATTTAAATATTATTTTTAGAATTGATGATAAACCCAAACTTCTCTAAAATAAAAGACGGTGAACCTTGTCATTCCTCTCTAGTCCGACTACGAACTACTTCCTGTAAGCAAACTGTTTAAGTTACTTATTAATTAAACTTAAACTGGATCCAGTAAACTCTCTAATAGCTTCATAAAGATTGGTTTTACTTGGAGGCAGGCTGCTGGTACTGCAGGTCCAGCTTAGATCAGACTGGATCAGAACTGGTGTGCGTACCTGGCCCTGGGGAACCCTCTGTTCCCCACCTGTACCTCCACCTTGTAGACACCAGGGGGCAGCAAAGGCAGGCGGCAGCTGATCCGTGTCTCGCTCCACTGGGTGGTGACGCACTCTTTCGCGCCAACAAACACGGCACTGTTGTTGCTCCGGCCTCCGAGGTTTGAACCTTGGACAGTGAGAAGCTGATCTCCTGAACAGCAGAAGAAGAAACCGATCAAACCGGCTTCTGATGCTAATCGACCAATTAAGGCGCCATGTTGGGGCACCATGTTGGCCCCAACATGGCTCCATGTTGGCATTAAGGCTCCATGTTGGCATTAAGGCTCCATGTTGGCATTAAGGCGCCATGTTGGCATTAAGGCGCCATGTTGGCATTAAGCCGCCATGTTGACATTAAGACACCATGTTGGCATTAAGGCTCCATGTTGGCATTAAGGTGCCATATTGGCATTAAGGNAATGTAAAATCTTCAATAAATAACAATGGGCTGTATTTTGTTGCTGAGAAACGAAGTTGCGCAAGTAACCGTGAAAGAGAAGCGGAACGGAGAAGCGGAAAGGAGTAGCGGCGCGAACAGAGCAGCTGCAAAAGCAGTGAAATCACGAAATTAATGCAGATTTTGACTGGTAGCATTCACTTCGTAATTAGTTTTTAGCTTAGCGGCTTCTGTTCTGTATATAAAGGATTACCTGAAGAATGAACATGGGTTGATAACATCCGGGCGCCCAGCGGCGCTGTGTTTTGAGCAGGAAGACGAAGAGGAAAAACCCCCAGCCGTGAGCGCAGTGAGGATTTCCATGATAACAATGGCTGATCGATTATTCTTATTAGCAACAGGCCAAAAGTATCAGAGACTGAGAGTACTATGAGATCCTGGCAGTCAGAGATCCAAGCAGGGGAATAGCGGCGCTGCGTAGCTGCAGGGAGTCGATCACTACGGCGTGAGGCGGAGCCACGACTTTAGCAGTTAGACGAAAGCAGCTTACAGCCACGGCTAACTCTGGAAGCCAAGGTAGAAAAGCCTTTTTCCCCATAGTCCAAAAGACTGCATTTGTGGCTGCATTTTTACTCCAAAATGCAGCCACAGTGTCCAAAAGAAAAAACATAAGTGCAATCATTTGCATATTGAGAGTCTACAGAGGCTGATAATCTCCCCACTCTGCTCCTGGATTACCGTTTAAACTTTTGAGTTTTATGTCAAATCCACATGAATTAAATGACAGAAACTAATACTTTCACTGCATCTTTGATTCATTTTGTCCAGCTGCAGACTGGTAGACTGTCCAATCAGTCAGGTATTGTGTAGTTGGTGCTTTTAATCAGTTTTCAGTTAACTAAATTCAAGTCTATGGACCATAAAATGTCTCTAAAATCACTCTGTCCTTCTAAAATCTTTCAGAAAATTGTAAAAATGCACTGAATCGTAGCAAATTGTATCGCTCAACAAATATTGTGATACATATCGTATTGTGACCAGAATATTGTATATCGTATCGTTAAATTATTGTATTGCTACACCCCTAGTTAGGACAGGAGACGAGATGTTTCCATCCCTGAAATTATGATGCATAGAATCACATATCTATGTCTAAACTATGTTACAAAGTAAACACAATAAAAACATGCTTTATCTGTGGCATTGTTCATTAAAATGGCACATTTCTGATGTATTAAAATTAAATACGATTTGTTCATTAATATTGTATTTGCGATTCAGTAAGTACTTTTACTTTTAATAAGTATTTTTAAAAACCAGTACTTTTTTACTTTTACTTAAGTACAAATGTTATTGTGGTACTTTTACTTTTACTTGAGTACATTTTTGTCTGTTTATTTGTACTTTTACTTAAGTACATTTTTTGAGTACTTTCTCCACCACTGGCCGATCCCTGGTTACCGATCTTTAAAAAGCCTGAGCTGCTGATTTTGGTTTTGGCTGATATGAATTTTTTTTGTCTGAAATGTTGCTAAATATAGCAAGAAAGTCACTGAGCTGCAACAGTGGGTGAATATTGATAACTGTAAACGTTCAGACCTGTTGGTCTGTCAGTCAAACCTCTCACTGCAGAGCAGAAGAGGACAGAGGCTGATGCTTAAACCTTTGCTGATGAAGATCAGGGGATAAGATCAGCTTCACATGTAAGTATCGGCCGATTACGATGCCCCAAAATTAAGGAAATCGGCTCCCAGAAATCGACTGGTTGATAAACCAGTTGGCCAATAAATGTGTCGTATATTATACATGTATATAATGTAAACATCCAGAGATGCAATCAGCTTATAGCAGGTGTGTGAATGACCTGATGATCGGACTGCTGACTGCAGCCGGTCCACACTGTTAGCAGAACTAGAGGGCCCCAAAACCAGATTTGGCTTAGGGCCCCATGGAGGCTGGGGCCCATGGAGGCTGGGGCCGGCCCTGATTGGTAGCATTAGCTCAGCTGATTCCTCCCTCCAGGAAGCCACCAAACTGAACTCCTGTCCAAATCCAACTACAATAAAGATAAAAAAGAGAAAGAAAATGGAAAGTTAAAATAACAAATAATGCCAGTTTGATGAATCAGATCTAATCCATTTCAGATGCAAAAAACGTTCTGGAATCTATTATTGACATTTTATAAATTCCACAAATCAATCAGAAGGTTTGACAAATGTTGTATTTATTCTGCTGTTAGTACAGAATAATCTAGTTAGGTTTGAAATATCTAGATCACATGTGTCAAACTCAAGGCCCGCGGGCCACATGTGGCCCGCCATGTCATTTTATGTGGCCCCCCTAGCATTTTATAGGCCGACATTGACTTACAATAGGTTTTGAGCATGAATTGACGACAAACTACATCTCCCACAATGCATTCCGATTGTTACCAGCCAAGATTACAGCTTCTCGCCACTAGAGAGCAGCA